TCAAAGATGGGGTAGATGCCATAGGATTTCCCACGCAGTAAAAACTGCAGGGTACTGTCACTCAAGACCAAGAATGGTCGAGACGTGGCCCCGGGTGCGGCCATGTTGCAAGCGACTGTGTCGCGTCTTGTGGGCTGTGCCCCGCCTTTGTGCAACGCAGCTAGGAGCAAGCTTTGGCATACGTGTTAAAAAATGCCTGATGACTGTTGTATGTGACGAATGAATGCCTCTTTCTGCGGGCACCTCTCTGCGCTTGAGTAAAAGAATAACAGCACAATCATGCAGAGTAGACTCATGTCAGCTTCCTAATGCAGCACAAGGGCAGGCACAGGTTCAATGAGAAATCACAATAACCGCGCGAGGGCGCACGGTGTAGCCATCCGTTGTGAATTCCAGAAAGGCGTCTGGTCGCATTCCGGCCTATCAGGCAAGGCAGATTGAAGCTCGAGTATCAGAACGCACAAACATGATCCGTGTCAAAAACAGTCTGTGAAGTACCCCCCCGGTCTCTGCAGGTGCGTATTAGTAGGCTGTGCCTTAGCTCCGTGGGCTGTGCCCCCCTCAAGCAGCTGGCTAGCCAAGACACGGAGGCAAAATGGCCTGAGTCGGGGGATTGCTGAAAGGGGGGAGCCTGAACCCTAGCGACAGCGGCCTATCTCGAAGACCGGCAGTGAAACGTTCCCATCCTTCAGCAGCTGTCAAAACAATTCGGTTAAACCGGCGACAAGGCTGAAAGGCATGCCAATTTGTTCGGGTGGGCAGGAGCAAGGCCTGACCTTGTGTAGAATACATAATACCTGCTCGCATTCGTGTGGCACCAGGAATTTCCTGGTAGACATTGCCCCCCGATCTCTCTACCCACAGCTGACCTGAAACATCGTAAGAAAGCTGCAAGACAAAGCTGTAGTCAGCTCCGCCGTTCTCTACTCTAGTCAGCCGTTCTCCCGCGTTGCAGCATATGGTCAGAGTTGTCCAGGTGTGCTCCGGAGAGCACAGAGCCACAAGGTAGTTCATGAGTCGCGTTGCGTGCTGAAGCGTGACCGTGTCCTTGTAGAGTCCCGACGTGGCCCGAACATATGCTCCAAGGTGACATTGATGTTCCTGTCGTAGTCCTCGCTGGCTCTGGAAGCCGCGCTCGAACGGCAGGTCCGCTGCCACTTGTTGTATTGCATCCCAGAGCGAAATTGGCTCATCTTGCACAAGAGTCATCAGGAAGGCATGCGCTTTAATTTTTGAGGCGATGGCTGTGCGAGGCAACGAAGGGGCACAAGTCAGGAGGGGGTGACCCCTCTGCGACGCTGTCGGCAAGTGCGTGGTGCTGATGGTCGACCTCGCTTCGTCCAGTTGGGCCAAGAAGGCCAGGAAGGCGACCCTGCCGGGGTCTGGAAGAGCCTCCAACGCCCATCCAACAACATCATTCCTCGGGTACATGCTTATGGCAGGCGGCAGAGTTATGTCATAGACGTCGCAGACCCGCGTCACAAAGTCCAGGAGCAGTGAGCCCTCGTAGTAGTCGATGAAGATGTCCGCCGGGAGCTCGAGGACCCGAGTCGCCATGAGGGCAGTGCAGCGCTGCTGATTACATGAGGACCTGCTGAAGCCTTGCTGACTACGGCAAGAGATGTGCAGGCATGACGACAAGACAGGGATGCTCTCAAGTGTCTCTGTTCCGTTATTACCTTCGCAGGGGTATCCCAGCAGTGCGATGGAAAAAGCGCAGGAGCATAATCATAAGACCATGCTCGTACGCAGGCTACATCTATCTACCGATCAGGCTCAGCTGTCGCATGCTGAGGAGCAATAAAGGCTGTGCCTCCGGTCGATAGGCTGTGCCTTAGGAGCCCCAACTGAGCAGGCAGGAAGGCATTGACTGATGCTACGCGCTCGGGAGCATATCTGCTTCCTCCTCCGGCTCCGCCCATATGCCGCGAGGTGGGCTACGATGTCGGTTCATGAGGGCGAGCCTTGGTGCCGGGCTCGCAGTAGCTGAAGATACCGAGGCAGCAGCGATAAGACTGGCATCTGTTTTGGGGGGAGGGGGAGGATGCTCTGGTAGTTCAAGCTCCAACTAGCCATCCTGATTCCCGTACTTGAGGAAGGGGTAGACGCCCATGTAGACACGCCGAATGTGGGAGCCCTTGGTGCGCAGGCCACAGCTCAGGTAGAACTTTGCAAAGGCAGCCGACTGCTCCCAGCTGTCAGAGTTCGTGGGGTCAGCTTGAGCTGGCTCATAGATGAATACTCCGTCCTGATTGCCCCTTTGGTCAGAGGGATCAAGAAACTCTGTCGTCTGCGTATTAACCGTCCACAATCCTGCCTGGACAACAATCTTGGCGTCCACCGCCGTTTCCATCCAGCTGCCACCCGGAAAGAGCATGCGAGGCCAGGCAGGCTGTGCCTCGCGAAGCAGCCTGTACCCACTGTGTGAGCTCGGCCATGGCATGTTTGGGCAATCTGGGGCAGGAGGTTGAATGAGTTCTCCAGCCGGAGTGCATTATGATCTGTACCATGATGGTCTGCGCTAAGTGGTAGTAGTCACCCCGCATCGTTCGCCTAGGAGGATCATGAAGTTCATGAGGTGGCCTATGGAGATCTCCCCCCCCCTTCCCGGAGAGCCAAATTCCTGACTGATGGGGTATATGCATTCGCCCGCTGAGCCGCCCATGTCAATGAGTACGTATGAAGCAGGTCGTTCCCTTACCATCACGTTATCAAGGTGGACATCGGCGTGTACGATGTTCAAGATGTGAAGTAGTTGGAGAGCTGCACTGACGTCCTCTTTGAAGCGTAAGATGTGCTGCTGGGTCATGTACGGCACGTGGACTGGATAGAGATTCATCATCAGGGCACGAGGAGGCACATAGGCCACCGCGCTGTTGACGACGGCCAGTTTCGGGAGCTGTTGGAGTCGCAGAACTTCTCTGGCAATGTGATGGGCTTCACTGGATCGACTAGGACTCTTGATCACGAATTGAGGATGTCCGTCCACCTGGTAAACCAGCGATGTGGCTCCTTTGCCCACCATTCGTCCTAAGCCTGCCCGAAGTGCACTGCCGATTTCATGAGGGTTGCAGGATGCTGCGCTCGGCCAGTCGCGCATGGACTTCCATGGAAACCATGTTGAAGGCTGTGCCCTCACAACTAGGCTGTGCCCCTGGTAATGTTGAAGCCAAGGCGCTGGGCGTATTAAGTCTTGCTCTGGCTCTACACTCGCGGTGCACCTATTTCACCATGCATTCTGTTCTTTTTGACATAGCTGGCGGAACTGTGCTAAGACGGAACTCCGATTCATCATGCCACCTGAACGGCATGAGAGATTGCCTACATTGCCGGGCCTCAGTGCTCACCTTGGTCATAGTTCTGCTTGGAGTTACCCCCCGAGGTGCGTCGCTGCCTCGGAGCAGGAGGCTGCGGCGGGATCACACGACCCGAGGGGAGCGTGTGCACTGCTGAAGCACCATTGTACGAGCATGAAGTGTCCATGTCTGCAGCTTTGCGCTTTTGTGCCTCATCAACGATCCTGGCGAGAGCCAGGAATTCCGACCAGCGATGGGGTAGGAGATCCATTGATTGAGGCGTCTAATTGCGCAAGTTACCCCTTAAGCCTCAAATGAAGAACTTTGCTGACGTGTAGGCTGGCCTAATTTGAAAAGTAGTTGGCAAACTGACTTGTTTGTCCCGCGGCTCTCGAACTCATGTAAGAGAATTGGCTGCGAGTCTATATGCCGGCCTTTGCCTTGCAAACTTGCAACGGACTTATGTCCATGCGAGCACGAGCGCTCGGCTATGATATGAAAAAGAGCGGAGGCCCTCCTCGACTTGTGTCCAGAGTCGGCTGTGCCACAAAGCCCGATCACAGTGTGAACAGGATGTTGCAGGCGCTGACACTAAAGATATGAGGTCAAGGACCAATCCATCCCCATAGGGTAGATCGGTCGGCTGTGCCGCTCGTCTTATCCACTGTGTGAACAGACTTACGCTTTCCCTCGGGCCTTGCGCGCCAGCCCTCCTGGTGCCTTCTTGCCGAGCCGCTCACCGTCATAGGTGTCCAAAACCTCCATAAAGAGAGTGGAGTATGGCATGAGCTCGGAATACAGGGCAATGCGCAAGTCGAGGATGAGATGGGTCTTTTTGAGATTTGGCCTAGCCGAGCAGTGCGTGATCTCGCGAGACAAAGATGCATGCGAAGACGGATCCGACAAGCGAGTAGCCAGGGCCATGAAGTTGTTGTAACGCTCATTAGTCGAGCCACCCGAGCCTGTGTGTTGAGGCGGGGGTTGCCCCTTTGTGAGCCCCGACAGGAGGCTGGATGCAACCGCAACCGAGCATGAACCAGCAGGGTGAGGCTGTCCCGGTTTATGGGCCTTCTGCCATCCCTTCACCGCCTTCTGCAAGACTTGTGACAAGCCGAGCTCGATTGGAAGCTTGTACACCAGCGACAGTTGGTGCTGTAGCAGACTGATTTGTTCGTCATGCACCAAGAAAGCCGTTGTAAGCTCCAAGTTGCTCAAGGCTTGGACGCGTCGAGCGCCGCGCATCTCACCTGTTCCACATGTCGGAGGTGGCCCATTCGGCGCTGCTGCTGTAAAGAGCGCAGTCTGCGAAGGCAGAGAATTGCCAGTCCGTAGTCCGAGTGATCGATCATCCTCTTCAGATGCCTCTGGAGCGTCTTCCATAGCTGAGTGAGGCTCCCGGGTTCGGGACCGCTTTTGCTCCGGGCTCTTCGGTGACGCCATGGCTAAATGTAAATCTGAACTTGAACCGTGAACAGGCCTGCGCGTGCGCGTGACACGTTTGGCCTTGACGCGGGGCGGACTGCGCAAGCCTGTTGCCGACTGCAGTCTTCCCGCGCACAGGCACCCCCTTACCCTCAGGCCGAGGGCCAGCACCTATTCATACAAAGAGTCAGCTGATCCAAAGAAAAGGAGAGGAAAGAGAGAGAGAAAAGAGGAGAGAAAGATGCAGGGTTCAATCCCTGCGCTTGAGTAGAAACATGTAGCCGTCGTTCTGCAGGCCGGCCTTTTCGCTGGCCGTAGCCAGTACTGGGCGCCAGAAATCACCGCAGATGTAGACCTGCTGTGCTGCAGGTGTCCGCTGAGCAGTAGCCCTTTGCGGCCAAAAGGCACGATAATGACCCTCAGTCAATGTCAAACCGAAATGTGCGATACCAGATATAGCTATATACGGTTTCATGGTCCGCTCCTGTCCTTCAGCCCAAACTGGCAGTGCTATCTGATCCTGCCACACAATTGGAGCGCGATTCTTAGCCCCTGCCTGCCATCTCCCTAATACAACAGGTATCACCCCAGGTGCCCAGCATAAAGCTCTTTGAATAGCACCGTCACTCCATGCATCTATGCAGGCCTGTAGGGTGTCTTGTGTAGGCATCGGCAGCATAATAGGCGAGTATCCCGTTTCAGTGTCATCTACCTCCCCGTCCGTGCGACCCTGCCATAGTACTGGGTCAAGTGAGCCTGACGGCGCCTGCAACAGATGTGATAAAAATTCTGACACGTCATGCTTCGCCATCCCACCGTCAGGTGACGAAATTCAAAAAGACCAAACAAATTCAGCGGGCGGAGCTCATGCAAGCGAATCTGCGTGAGGACAGGCTGTATAGCTGCCCTAGGTCATATCCATGCAGCAGAACTACCAGTAAAGCTTGAAACACCGAGTTCGCGTAGCATGCGTTGCACGAGTTAGTCAAGATACGAAATTTACTGGCTCACATCGCGGTTGGACCTATCTCCCCTAGGTCGTCAGTGCGGTGGTTGCTGCTAGGAGTTGCACAAGGATGTGTTGCCGGCGCTGCGACACATCGGTCTGAGGCAGGCGTTTTAGGCCGGTGTCCAAAAAACTGGTGCAAAGACTGTGTCTTGTTTTGCTCTGGACTGTGTCCATCAGCTGTCACCCCGGCTTTCTGTGTGCTCTGCAGACTTCCTTGAGCTTCCTGGATCGTGTGAGTTCGCAACCATTGTGACGCAAGCTGGTACAAAACCGGGCATTGTTCAGGGTGGTTGCGTCTGTCGTGGACTTTATAACCACAAAAAGGGCAAAGTTGCCCCTTGCTGGAAGGAGTACCCCGCACAGAGCTTGGCCGTCGAGGCGTGAAGGCGTCGCCAGTCCTGTGGATGAGCTTGACGAAAGTGCGACTTGACCTTGGTGCGATCTGGCGTCCAGAAGTTACAGACCAGGCATCTATGATTGAGGACATCGTTGACCGCTCTGCGTGCTCTGACACCGAGTAAGTGCTCGGGTAGAGCAGCTAAGTCGACCCGAATTGCCTGTAGAGCCTCTGCTACTGGACCTTCGGCGGTGTGGTTTGAGATCGAGAGCTCGCGAAGCTTAGCCGGCGAGGGGCATGCTCCCGATAGGAGGTGATCACGCAGCCCCTTCCATTGTTTGAAAATATGCAGACAGGCCGCGCACTGAGGCATCCCTTCGACCGCATGTTTGAGCCGATCAAACTGGTCAGAGATGAACCTGTCAATAGACTCGGGATGAATTTTCGAGCGATGCAAGTGGACACCTTGCACGGTCTCGAAAGAGGCGCCGCACAACTCACAGCTGTGGAGGCGAGCCGGGTCTTGGTTTTCGACCGGAAATTGCTCGATGGCACGAATCTTGGCACGAAGGCAAGTGAAAGCGGCATCAGATGTGGTGATGTCTGGTTCAACTTTGGCGCGTCTCCTTAATTTGCGCAGTCTCTTGCGCAGACGCTTGAGGACAAGCTTCACCGGGTCTTCAAGTTTATAAATGGCAAACAAGTCCTTAGTGGAGACCCTTCGAATATGTGCTGGCTGATTCAAAACCGTGCGAACCTTGTAGGCATGCCAACTTCGTACAGATTGAGCCGAGTCCTCGGAGAGGCCGACTTCCGCTATCCCCGTCAGAAGCGTGCTTTGCACAGTCCCCAGCCAGACCTTCAGCCTGGATTTGGTGCTTGCGATTCGGCGGTTGTGAACAAACTTCCTCACCAAATGGAGTTTCTGTTTTGCCTCAGAGATCCTGTGTTGCAGAGTTTGCTGCTCAAACTGATTGTAGGAGATAATCACCCCTAAATACTTCGTCGAAGAAGTCCACTGAAAAGCCGGGAAAGGTTTTGTTTGGGCCTATCCTCCAGCCTTTGACCGGTGT